TCGCATAAAATCAATTAACTAAAAATAAAAAAATTTCACTTCTAGAATAAAACTTAATGATATTTCCAAGCCAGATAGATATATTCCTAGTCCTTTGTCATTTATCACAAATTTTCACATAATTGTATGCATCCTTAAACAAGTTTGGTTAATAAAATACATTTTTTAATACATTGTTTATAGAGATAGGGTTCATTCAAGAAATAATATATAACATCATGCAAGAATTTCATCCTTTATTGGTAAGATAAATCAGGAGGGAAAATATCACTTACATTGAAATTAAGTAAATAAGCTTGTCATGAAATTATTTGATAATTAAATGCAAACATATGTTCAACAAGAAACAAGTAATTTATTTTTATTAGTTTTTTTATGGATTTTACTATATTCCAATCTAGATAAAAGATATGTTATTTGACATTAATTACTTTCCTATTATTAATCTCTAAGTCAAATTCTTGTAGCAATAACCATCTAATTAATTTGGGAGTTGCATTTTTTTAGTTTCAAGTAGGGGAGCCAATATTTGACACGACCCGAAATCTCGACTCAAACACGACCTAAAAATTTTAGGTTAGGGCCAATTCGTTTCTCAAACGATTCGACTTCAAAAGATGTGCCAAATTTTAAAAAACTTCTCCATAAACACTTTAATCCCGTGTTCTATCAAACAAAAAATTGGCAATCATGCATCTTTGAAATTTAGCTAAGGCATTACATAATTCAAAACTACCCCCTTTTAAAGGCAAAGGTTTCATAGAAGCACATAATTAAGGTATTTTCTTTATTTTCATTAGCTATTGTAATTTGATTGTATTTTGATTACCTATCTAGAAAATAAAAAAAATGACTACCTTACTAATCTATCCAACATCAAATTAATAAATAATTGGCAAAGGAATCTCATCTTTTTAGTATATTTATTCAACTTTCTACATTATGTGCAAATCCACCACCCAATAAATATTGATGTAGGGATTACTTTATTCTTCTCATTTGTTATGACTATGATCCCTCCTTTCTTATATACACAATGCACTGAACTCATCCATGAATTATCAGAAATGGGATAAATTATCCCTACATCCTATCTTTTTAAGATATATTTCTTTATAACTTTCTTTATTATTGAATTGGATTTTTTGATGATCTAATATTTGTTTGTACTATTCTTCTATTAAAGCTTTAGGCATGTGTAATAATGCCTCTAATATCTATAATAGTCCACACAAAAGCTTTTTCTTTGACTCCTAAAAACTCTCATCACCTTTTCTTAATGAAGTTCATCTAATTCCTCTAATATCTATAATAGTTCACTAAGTTTAATCATTTGTTAAAGTTGTTTCCATTGACTCAATACTTAAAATTATTCTCCATTTTCCTCTTGGACACCATCTTCTACTAAATCAACTCTATAACTCTCATTAATATGTTCATTTGGGAATGACATTCATTTGAAAATATTAAAAATGATCTCTTGCTCTTAAACTTTCAGAGTTAGTTCCCTTCTTTCACATTTGTCATGGTTCTTCTTAGCCAGGAAAGATCTTCTTAAGATGATTGGGACTTCTTAATCTTTCAGTACTATATCAATTATAATAAAAGTAGCATAGAAGATAAATTTGTCCACTTTCACCAAAATATCTTCTAAAACTCTTCTAGGACAAGTTAACAGTCTATTAGCCAATTGAAGAGTTATAGATAAATGTTGAGCTTCTCATAATCTAAATTTTTAAAAAATTTGACAAAGGGCATTAAATTTATGATAGCTCCTAAGTCACATAAAGCTTTTTAAGAAAAACTTACCCCCATTGTAATGTGGAACTAAGAAACTACTCAATTATTATTATTATTATTATTATTATTATTATTATTATTATTATTATTATTATTATTATTATTATTATTATTATTATTATTATTTTAATAATTTCTTTGAATTATGGTACTACATTCCTCACTAAGATCTATAATTATAAATTCTCGTAGTTTTCATTTTTTTGATAACTTGTTGGTTATTTAACATGATAAGCAAGCACAGGTGCCAACAAGTAATGTATAATAAATTAAATATCATTCCCATGATGATCGAAAGAAGTAATTCAAATAGTTAATCAATGATTCATATTATTGTTGATTTCATTTAGCATAATCAAAATAAATTCTTATTTTTTTTTCCACTACAAGTAAACTGAATTTAAATTTTAATGAAGAAAAATTCTTGATTCAGTGTTATATCAAAACATATTTCTTCTATATTTTAATCTAAATTTTTATTTAAAATTCAAGTTTTCATTAATAAGTAACATTTATTTTCTAATCTCTTTCAAAAATTAGAAACCACCCTAATCAATTTAACCAATTCATGATTAGGATTCATATTAGATAGCTTTTGTCCACTGTTTTTTCATTGCTTTCAAAAAATTTTTTAATAGAAAACTACTTCAGAAAGCAACAAAAAGCTGGCCTAAACAAAACCTTAATTAAAAAAATTGAGTGAAGTTTTAATATTAAATAATTAGTAATCTTAACTGAGTATGCTACTATCTCAATCAAGTGATTTATTCATTTATCTTTCTCAAGTCTTTAATGACTCTTTTGATACCACAAAATACTGTAAATTTCAAGTTAAAAATCAGCCACATAATTAACTAATAAAAAATACATATATATAAATCAAATAACCATGAGCTCAACACACATGAAAAAAAAAAATAGTTGATATCATAATCACAATTTCAACTTCGTGTGGCTTTATATATCCTCCGGGCTTCGTTTGGGACGGCTTTTTTACTACTTCTTAAAGTAACTTTTTAGTACAAAAATTAAAATTTTTGTACTAGAACATTGTTTTAAGAATATGTAAGAAAGTCATCCGAAATGAAGAGTCAATCTTGCCTACTATTTCTTGTTGACCTTATAGTAAGTAAGGAACAACGTATGAGATTTTTTTGGGACTTTTGAGTCAATTAAGACAAGTTCACACACACATCACATATGTGATATTCAAACTCAAGATCTTTTGGTTGGTAGCTAAAGCTCTCAACCAACAGATCAAGATTAGTTGTGTACCATATTGGATTCATTTATTGATATATAAAATCAAAGAGATCTTAGCAAGACAATACAATGTGACACGGTCATATTAAGGGTATAAATGAGTCAAGTTGACTCATCACCTGGTTCAAGCTCGATTCTATAAATGATTCGTGAGCCGAGTTTAATGTGCTAAAGAGTTATGTTTGAGCTAGCCCTAACTCAACACGTTAGCACCGGAACTAACTTGTTTAGAAAATATGAATATAAAATGCACTTAAAATATATTAATATTCAAATTTCTAAGTTAAAAACTGTTAAATGTTTAGAAAGTATTTCTCACTATCTTATATCCAGTAATTCTTCATTATTTTTTTTCTATCTTTTTATCATTTTATTATAATAATTACTTGAATCAGAATCATTTCCTCTCTTTCAAAATAAACAAACCGGCTCAAACTCATAGAATTAAGCTCGAGCTCCAGCCTCGGGTGACTCGAGCTCGACTAGACTTTTTTACATGCCAAGCTCATATATCATGGTTATTCAATTAAACTAACACTTAAGCTTTGCGAGTATAAAAAGATTTCACACATGTGCATGGATTTCTGCAGTCCTTAAATCGTGTGCACAAAAACAAATATTTATTATAAAAAAAGGACAACACCTAATGAATAGAATCCCTTCTAAAGCAGGATCCGAGGAGAATTAATGTACACAGTTCATCACCTTAATTATATTTATAAAAATAATATTTTTAGTTCGAGTTTGATCTTATAAGATTATAACTTTACAATTTTCTTTGAAGATGGTCAGTATATTAAAAGAATAAGCAGATCAATTACATCATAAATAGTAAAAGAATATGGTGTATATGTAAGAGGAATGTTGTAGTGTATTATAGTAGAAATTAAGCTCTTAAGAATTATTAGTCCTATTGAAGAAGAATTAGTTCTATGGAGGTCATTAATAACCAGTCAACTTGATTACAATTTTTAAAAAAGATTTGGGAGTTTGTTTTATAAATCTTTGCAAGCCATAGAAGAGACAAGCAATATTGCAGGAGATTCTCCTTTTAAGCAAGTTTTCATGTAATTATTATTTGACATTTACATTTAGAGTTTATTACTTAAGTTTCATTTGGAACAGCTTTCTTACTGCTTCTTAAAACAGCTTTTTAGTACAAAAATTAAAATTTTTGTATTAAAAAACTGCTTTAAGATGCAATAAGAAAGCTGTCCCGAAGTCTTAGGCTTCGTTTGAGACGGCTTTTTTATTACTTTCTAAAATGGAGTTTTCGTACAAAAATAAAAAAATTTGTACTAAAACTCCATTTTAAAAAGCAATAAAAAAGCAGTCTCAAACGAAGCCTTAATCTAACCCTTCACTTTTTTTATCCAGTATTTTTCAGATAAATACATAATATCTAAGCCTCAACTTATTATAGCAAACCTAAGCAATCCAGCTGAATAAAGAAAATCATTGTATGAAGCTATTTTTGTCGCAATTAAGGACCAATAAAAACAATAAAAATAAAAATAAAATGCTAGTTTTTATGACTATGTTAATAGTTGTGGTGAGCTCCATATAGCAGCAAAGATGATATATCAAAATTTAGTGTTGTGAGGAAGGTTGAAAATGAAAAACAATTATTTTTCACTATTTATCTAAACCATCAATTAAATACATACAAATCACCCCCTATCAATCTCATGCAAGCATGTGGACAAATAAGAACAGATTGTTGACCTCCCTTCTTTCCCGTTAAAAAGACCTCACACAAACTCTTCAATCCCACACCACATTAATTTACACCCCATCCCCACATCTCCTTGCATTCCACCTTTGCTTAAATCTTCATCTTTGCACAATAATCAAATCAAAACTCCCATACACTCCACTATAAATCCCTACTGCCTCTTCTTCCCCCCACTATCTCCTCTCACTCCCCAAAACCCGCCATGACACGATTTCCACCGGCCTTCACCTTCCTCGCCATCACCGTCATAATGCTAGCCACTGTTTCCCTTTCCTCTGCTACCGGCTCCCGATTCCTCGCCGGACTCGCTGTTAAGAGCAGCAGGTGCTCAAGAAATCCGGCAGTCTGCCACACTCCAGGGAGCGGCGGGCCAACTTGCTGCGCCAATCTGTGCACTGATACGAGCCGCGACACGCTCAATTGTGGTCGGTGCGGTAGAATTTGCAAGTATACAGATTCCTGCTGCGAGGGAAAATGCGTCGATGTAACGTTTAATAAGCACAACTGTGGCAGCTGTGGCAAACGGTGCTCACGTGGGGTGAAGTGCTTCTATGGAATGTGTCAATATGCTTGAGTTGTTCGGGTGTTGTAAGTTGTGTGAATACCACAACATTATAATTATGGGATATTTGAGGATATAAATGGAAATCCTTTTATTTATAAAAATAACACTTAATTGTCATTATTATTCAAATAAACTTACAATTAAGCTGTGCGAGTATAAAAAGATTTCATGCATGTGCATGGATTTCTGCAGTCCTTAAATCGTGTGCACAGTAACTAATATTTATCATAAGAAAAGGTCAACACCTAATGAATAGAATCCCTTCTAAAGCAGGATCCGAGGAGAACTAATGTACACAGTTCATCTCCTTAATTATATTTATAAACATAATATTTTTAGTTCTGGTTTGAGCTTATAAGATTATAACTTCATGACTGGTCATTATATTAAAAGAATAAGCAGATCAATTACATCATAATTAGTAAGAGAATGGTGTATATGTAAGAGGAATGTTGTAGTGTATTATAGTGGAAATTAAGCACTTAAGAATTATTAGTCCCATTTAAGAAGAATTAGTTCTATGGAGGTCATTAATAATCAGTCAACTTTTATTACAATATTTAAAAAAGATTTGGTAGTTTGTTTTATAAATCTTTGCAAGCCACAGAAGAGACAAACAATATTGCAGAAGATTCTTCTTTTAAGCAAGTTTTCATGCAATTATTATTTGACAAATTTTACGTTGACTGTCAATTATCTAGTGCAACCCTCCACTTTTCTTATCCAGGGCTTGAGACCTAGCAATGACAGTGTTAAAATCATCGAGTCAAGCTTTCCAACTAAATACATTATATGCAAGCATCAACTTCTTATAGCAAACCTGAGCAATCCAGCTGAGTAAATGAAGATCATCGTATGAAGTTATTTTTGTCGTAGTTAAAGACCAATAAAAACAATCAAAATAAAATAAAAATGCTAGTTTTATTAACTATGTTAATAGTTGTGATACTAAAAAGCTGCTTTATAAAACATTAAAAATTTTTTTGCAGATAAAGCCTAGGTGGACCGTAATCATTTAAACAAAGAATTGCCTTCAAACTCTTGACAAAAAAAATGAGAGATAATTACAACCTCCTCATCATTACACTAAGCCATTTCCTTATAAAATTGTAGGTGTGAATAAGCTTCTTCAAGAAAGAAGAGGAAACTTTTTAAGGAACTTATATATGGCCATAGTATTCTTGTGATCATTTATAAATTTAGTGTATCTAAGGAAATGTCAAACACACTTTATTTGTGGTACATGTTTTGAATAGCAAGAGAAGGGGAGCAATTATTAGGTGCGGAGTGCGGATGGGAGAACCGTCAGCATAAGCACTGGGTACCTAGCGGTACCCAGCGGTACCGAGTGTGGGTACCGAGCTGGGTACCCACCAATGAGGTGACGTGGCGTATTATTATTGGTCTCTGGATGCACTCCGCACTCCGCACCTAATAATTTCTCAAAGAAGGAAGGCTATGGACACATTTGTGGTTCGATGTAGCATATTGTTCATAAGAAACAATCTCAATTTTATTTGGAACCTCATTGTCAAAAAGAAATCTAAATATGTGCATAAAAATGTATTGATAGGATCCTTAGAGAGAAGTGGATTTAAACAAATAGATAGGATTACTAGGAACAGTGGAATTGAGTAGATGTAATCTCTTACTAAAGGGTAAAAAACTTTTTATTTTAACCATCAAGCAAAGACCAAATTTTATCAAATATGCATTGTGATGGGGTTCCACCAAGAATGTAGCTCATGAGGGTTTTCTTTTTTTTTCCTTGTAAGGGCTCCAAAAATGTTTTAGGGATTGGAAGCTTTGGAATTAGGTGACATTCAAGTTCCATGCAATGAGAAGGTGATATACATGGATTTTGGAATTGTGGCCGAATTTTGACAAGTGTAAAAGGTTTTTAGGGATTCGATTGGTGGAACTTTAGAAAATTAAAGCACTAATTTTCGGTGATCAAATCCATTGGAAATATAATAATTAAAATTTTATCGGTAAATATGTTTATCAGTGGATTTCCAAGGACCTTCATCCATCACTAATAAGCGCGTAGGAAATCTATTTTTGACAAAAAAAAATAGTCTGACAAAACTCAGACATATTTTGTTTGATAACATGCGGAATATTTTTTGCTAGAATCTAAAAAATAGTTGTAAAATTTCTGATATAATCTAAAAAGGAGAGCATTGACTGGAAGTCGTCAAATCAATTCTAAACTAAATGCAATGAACAAACTTATATTTAATTGATAAGAAAGAAAGAAATGAGGATTTACCCTATAGATTCTAAAAAAAAAAAATCAAGAAAAATGGAGTTTGGATGGAAAAATGGGAGAGGGAGTCACCAGTGAGATCGAGAATGCAATAGAATGTGAAAGAGAGGGCAACGGTGGTGCAATGCTACAAGCATAAATGTAGGGCCTTTACAAGAGAATTTTATTTGGTCCGGTTCACCTAATGCAAGAAACATCCGGTTGTAGGCAAAAACGCGCATATACCGTCAAAAAACTCGGTACACCTCCGTATAGGCGTGTTTTTGCCTACAACCGGATGTTCCTCTGCATCCGGTTGGAGGACGTAATAATTGTGCCTTTACAAGAAGGCATTTCAGATGAAAAAATCCTCCGATTCTCTTAAATATCATAATTGAAAGGGAAAATCCAATGGTTTTAAGTTAACATAGAAATATCTTCCACATATATAATTCAAATATATATATATAGAAGTGTATATCTAAATGTTTGTTTTCTTTAAATACTTGTGTTGAAATAAAAAACATAGAAATAATATTGAATGTAATGAGTCAAATAATGACAATGAATAGAATGACACGACTAATGACACTGAATTAAATGATATGAGCAATAACATTGAATGGAATGAGATGAGTAATAATATTTAATAGTGATGTGAATAAATATTGAATTGAATGGGTTTAGCTAGGCATATCTTCATTTGATAAGTTAATGTTTTTATGAACCTCAAATTTAACTAGAGCTCTTCACAAGAATAATTGTATCCAAGACTTGCCAATTCAATTGTGTAAAATTTATTACAAACATGGAGTCTTAGTTGTAGGGCTTGAATTTATTTGTTAGATACTTAAGAATTGTTACGACCACTACTAATAAATGAGGCTGTCGCAGCGCTTTTTTTAACCTACAGCAGCGGTTTTAACACCTGCTAAATTTTTTGTAGCGGTTTAAAATCCGCTGCACGACGCTTGATTTATGCAATCAATAGAACCATCATGATGCCAAAATTCAAAACAACTTGAAGTTAGATAGTTATGATGAGTTGTTGACAAAATAAGTACAAGAAGCAATCATAATAAATAATCATTTTGAGAAAAAAATATTAAACTTTGATACTATTTTAGGTTCATCATACTTACCTTCTCTTTTAAAGAAAAATCATACTTTAATTTAAGACATAGGTTGATTCTATTAAGTATAGAATCTTCATTTACTTAGAGACCATAACTTTCTTGTATGCAGTAGTCTCATAACTTTCAACTTAACCTTAAGCATAGACCACTTTGGACTCTTAAATTAGTATATGTCCTATATAACATTTATTTAGAAAATAAATTTATAAATTGATTATCTCTCTAGGATTTTGTTTAATTTGGATGTATTTGAATTTGCTAACCTTGGTTTGAACCTTGAAAAAAAATATATCAACATTATCTTCTTTATTTCTTCATATTCCTTATTAACATGATTTAAGACAAGTTAGGACTAAGAGAAGATAATGAAGTTTTTTACTCAAACTCCCAAAGCAAAACATAGTATAGTGAGTAGAGTTTCATAATATACTCGATAGTTCGTAACTTCAAAGACTGTTTTGATTGAGAAAGCCAAACATTATTACTATTTTATTACTAATATTCAAAATAAAAATTTCCGGTGTCTAGAGTCACCATCATTAAAGAGTGTGAAATATAAATCATCATTCAGTTTTTTTTCTTTTTGAATCAAGAAATTTGAAATCGATTAATTCATGCAGCACTAACCTTAGCATTGTAGAAATTTGGAAACCATCAAGTTTAACCACTAGCTTTAAAAATCACCTTAAATAATCAATTTTTGATAGAACTTCTTTTAATGGATGACAATTTATGACTTGAATTAAACACACTTAAAAATAGGGCAGAAGACATCAGGTAGTTTGACTAACATCTATGAGAACTTCTTCATAATTGAGCATCTCAGTTTGGTATCTTAAAGTATTTTACTCAAATAATAAATCATTCATTGCTTTCTTACATGATCTTTTATCAAAATATAATTGATTGATTCTTCCAAAATTATGGACTTTGGATCAATGGTGGTGAAGAGAGGTGTGTTTAGAGTTGAGTAAATACTTGATCACATTTAGTTTTCCACTAAAAATATTTTGCATTCTTAAGAATTTTGAAGAAAGATAAACATTTTTCCCATCAATTTGAAAAAAAATGGCTAAGGTTTGCAACCCACACTATTATTCATAGAAGTTCCTTTGTTTTGTTTGAAGCCAACATCTCCATGTTTAGTTTGACTTACATTTTTGTTTATTTATATTCCCTTTAGTGTAAGAATTTTGTTATATATTCCTCACAAGAAATAGGCTAGGCCAAAGTTATAGTGGCTTGATGATTTCCTTCACTTATAACCTTTTCGGCTTGTTGATGTTGAGTCTATAATATTCAATATTTGTATCTATTCTCTGTATGACTAAAATAAAACAAACAAAAATTTGTATAAAATGACACACTAATTAATTCAAAAGGTATGACGTGATGGCACCATTGATCAACTCAGCGGTCATGGAGTAATTATTATGTCCGGACACCGAATGCGTCAGAGACCAATAGCCACGCGCCACGTCCTCTGGAGCTTAGTACCGAGCACTCAGTATTTGCTCGGTATACGTCCGGATTTCCCGTTTTTTGTCCGGACGTAATAATTTTCGCGGTCTTGAGGCCAATATCTCTCAAGATGTCAAAGTTATAATACTTGCTTTTGCACATTT